TATATTCTATAAAACCCTACTGTTAATGGATGCTGCTGTCTTAAGTGTAAAGTAATTCAGTTGTGTCAATTATAATAAATGTTAATATTCAAATCCCATGACCTGTGTCACAGTTTGCATTATTTAATCACAATTTAACTTACATAACCATGTTTATCTCTTTTAAGCCGTGGTATTAATGCTTTTTACCAAACAGAAACTTTCATTTGTCACAAAGAAATGACTGAAGGTGGGCATGTTGCCAAAACACTAGGGATAAAATTTCAAAATAAAGACGCCACTTAGAGGCTTTTGCATCTGAACTCTTCATATACACACACACACACACACACACACACACATTTTTCCTGTTCCTGTTCCTTTTTAATTTTATATTAATAAAAGAAACTTAAAAAAAGTATCACAGGTTACCACCTCCATGCTTTACTGTAGCAATGCTGTTATTTGGATGGTGAGTTGTATTGGATTTCTGCCAGATATATCGTTTGGTGTTGAGGCCAAATTAATTACATTTTAGTCTCATCTGCCTCAGAATCTTTAAGGTGCGTTTTGGCAAAGCTCAGTCGTGACTGCATGTGGTCTTTCTTGAGGAGTGGCTTTTTCTTCACCCCTCCCATACGAGCCATTTTTCCTGTTCCTGTTCCTTTTTAATTTTATATTAATAAAAGAAACTTAAAAAAAGTATCACAGGTTCCAAAAAAATATTAAGCAGCGTAACTGTTTCCAACATTGATAAATCAGAATATTAAAATGATTTCTGAAGGATCATGTGACACTAAAGACTGGATTTTTCATGCAACCCTCCCATACAAACCACATCTGTGGAGAATTTGTGATATTGTCTTGTCATAAACTGCTTCAGAGTTGCTGTAGGCTTCTTGGTATCCTCTCTGACCAGTTTCCTCCTGGCTCTTTCATCCAGTCTGGAGTGACGCCCTGATCTAGGGAGGGTCTGTGTTGTACCAAATACCTTCCACTTCTTAATAATAGACTTCACTGTGCTTCTAGGCATGGATAAAGCCTTTGAATTGGTTTGTGCCTGTCCACAGCTTTATCCTGGAGATCTTTTGACAGTACCTTGCCACCCATAGTTGATTGTTTGCTTCAGTTGCACTACCAAGGACTGAAATGCTCCAGGAAAGCTCTTTTCATACTGAGCTAATCAAAATTACCACTAACTGTTTCCAACATTGATAAATCAGAATATTAAAATGATTTCTGAAGGATCATGTGACACTAAAGACTGGAGTAATGGTTGATGAAAATGATACTTTTAAGTACATTACAGTTTTTCTGAATTGCTAAAACGCATTTCTTGAAACAATCACTCATTTTCTCAAAACCTTAAACGCAAATCCAAACCTTCAAACTATATTCACAGAACCCCTGACTCTTCTGGCAAAATCAAACAATCGCTTCAAAACCATTTCACCTTTACTCAAAATCATACAAAGCTTTCAAATCATACACACAGTCAATAATATACACACTACAGATCATTCATTAGACACTACATCAAAAAATGGAGAACAGTGTCTGATCCTTTTTCCAACTCAGTGATTCTGTTTTACAGTTTTACAGAGTAAATACAGCTGGATAAAACAAAAATGTGTCCGTCTTCATTTTTGACTGCTTTTGACTGCCAGCTAGTGTACCTATAATAAAGCTTTGTAAGTGTGAAATTTGAACACCAGATCAGCATCGGAGAAAAAAAAAGAGAGCAGAGTGCTAGTTAGACAGCGGACATAAGTGTGTAACACTAGCAATACAGAATGAAGAGTAAAACCAATCACCTGGGAATTAAGCCATTGTCTTCCAACTTGTCCTAACCTCTGTAATCTACACCCCTCATATCCAAGATCTATTAATTGGTAGTTGCTGGTTTCTACCTGTGTGTGTGTGTGCGTGTGTGTCTAGAATCCCAGGGCATCTGATACAGTGGGCGGTGCTTTATCTGGGGACCTCTGACTGTGGAGATGTCAGCGCTGAAGCTGGTTCATAAGCAGTTACCTCAAATGACTTGATGTTAGTTTTTTTGTTGTACAAAAGTTTTTTTTTTTTTAAATATTAGGTGTAGTCTAAAATATATATTCTCATATACGCACTCTTCCGTACCTCTCAGATTGATGGATGCACCCATGCCATCTGTGCACTTTTATATTTTGTACTACTTATATTTTGTAAATTCACATATTTAGAAACAAGTGTGAACAGTTTTGAATTATGGTGTGTAAATGATGACAACCGTGTTGCAGTTGTGCTTAACTTTTGCTTTCTTGTGATTAGGGTTTTACATCACAAGTTTAGCACAGTGCAAATTGCGTTTTAGTGAGTGAGAATGTGTTTAGTTTTGCAAAAAGAGTGCGTGAGATCTGCAAACAGTGTCTGAACTGCCTGAACTTGTTTAAGGTTTTGCAGAAAGAGTGATTTATTTGACAAATTGGTTTAGGCTATTGAGAATTTGGTTCAGAGAATGGGGTTTAGTGTCTTAGCAAATGTGAAAAACTGTAAAGTAGAAAAACTTTATTTTAAATTTCACAATATTACTGTTTTACTGTATGTAAAAAAACATTATACATTTTACTGATCCCAAACTTTTGAACAGTAGTGTATTTATTGTTTTTTGGACATAGTATTTAATCAGAATCTGATTTCAATAAGTTTTCAGAGAAACTCTGCGCTATTCCACAGCTGACCTGGAGGGGCAGTACATATCCAAAAGCGCCTCTGATTGAATCTGCACGAAGAAGAGCCAAGGAAATAAAAACAAAAGTCCCCTTGGGTTGTTATGCCAGCTAAAAAGCGACAGAATGATCCCGCAACGGGTAAAAAGAATAAGAAAGAGAAACGAGGTGAACTCGCCGTGATTAATTCGGATTTGAGGGATGAAGCTGTCCAGAAAGGCATGAGAGACGCATGGCAGAGGAAAGAGAGCTACACTAATGGTATGTTTGTCCACCCACGTGACACAGTGAGCTTACACGAGTTCAACAGTCTTTTACAGAGTTACTGTGAGCAGAATCAATTTGCTTTTTGCAGATGAAGCAAACTGGTCTGTGTATCTGTCATGTCTGTGAATTCGCTGGTCTCTGTTCCAGGTAATATCCACCTGGACTGTGAGCCCTTCCCTCACTGTCAGATCACTCGTTTCCTGCAGAGTGAGAGCTTTGTGGAAAGTCTGCAAGCAGAGCTCCTGCAGCTGAATTTCAACAGCAAGTCAAATGATTTGTACAAGTTTCAACAGGTATCAGTCTGAATCATAGCTATATATTATGAAGAAGTGGATACTGAGTCCTGAATTCTGTTTCTTCTGCAGTCAGATGATCTGGGAGAGAGAAAAGAAGATCATATCTCACAAATAAGGTGAGTTCAAATGAGCTTCTGTGTTTAAGTTTCTGTCATTGACTTGCTCACAGATGTGGTGTTTGTTGGGATCTCAGGTCTGTGATTTTTGGGGAGTTTCGTGTCTGGTTGTCAGAAGTGTTGCAGGTGGATCTGGAGGCGACTGTCGATATATCCTGTGCAAAGTATGAGCATACAGGTAAACCATCTGACCACTTCTCGACAAATCACTGGGGTGTAGACAAGGAGATGATGTGCAGCTGGTCTTGACGTCTCTCGCTGCTCTTTGTGCAGATGTTTTGCTGTGTCACGATGATGAGCTGGAGGGACGAAGAGTTGCGTTCATCCTCTATCTGGTACCTCCCTGGGAGGTGAAAGATGGAGGGACACTGGACCTGTTCAGCACTGATGGTGTGTGATACAAGAGCATAAATAGGGTCATTTTACCCACAAAATTGTTGTTATTAAGTTTCAAATAACTTAAATCATGCCATTTGAATCAACGTGAAACTGTTAATTTTGACTGGAACATGATATTCAACAAAAAGTCATTAAAAAGTTGTTACATATTAATGAAAGATTATAAGAACAGACATTTTTTTTCTTTGGAATATGTTCTAATGAATCATACAGGAGGACCATGTGTAAATGTATTTAATTGTTTGTTATTTAATTAATTCATTATAATTGTGTGTGTTTCACAGAACACTGTCAGCCTGTGAGTGTTGTCAAGTCTCTGCTTCCTTGCTGGAACTCTCTGGTCTTTTTTGAAGTGTCCCCCGTCTCCTTCCATCAGGTAGTTAGAAGCAGTGTTGTTTCAGTATGATTTTTATACTGTTATAGAATTTATTAATATTTTGAATTAGCTTTTATTTGTATGATTTTTGATTTTAGTTATCTTTTCAGTTTTAGCTAGTAGTTTTGTTATGTGCTTTTGGCATTCATTCATTCATGTATGCATGTATGTATTTTATTATGCTTTAATTTTTATTTACATTTAAAAAAAAATGTTTTAGTAAATTTAGTGCCTTGGCAAGGCAACAATTTAGTGCCCAGTGGAAGTCAATGGGAACCAAATCACAACACTGGTCAGAAGGATTGGTTCTCCATTCATCAGTGATTTACATCTGTTGTAACAAACTAAACTGTAGTCTTGACTCTCTTAGGTGGCAGAGGTTCTTTCTGAGGAAAAGTGCCGTTTATCTCTGAGTGGTTGGTTTCATGGCCCTTCTCTACCAAGACCCTCACGCTACATTGAACCCCCAGTTCCCCGTCACACTCATATCCCCAGAGATGTAAGTCAAGTTAGCAGGAGAGAGCGTTTTTGGTGGGTTGGCCTGCATCTTCTCTATCTGAAGCACAGTGTGTATATGTGTTTGTTATAGGAGAGTTTGCTATTTGAGTGGGTGAATGAGATGTACCTGGATCCTCGCTATCAGGCTCGGGTACAGCAGGAATTCGAAGAGAGTTCTGAGATTTGCTTGGCTACTTTCTTACAGGTTAGTCATCATCATCATTATTATTAATTACACAAAAATATTCAGTTATGTTTAATGTACAGTAGTACATATACATATGTACATCAGGGTTTGACAATGCACCATATGAGCAAAACTCATTGTGTATATTAAGTGTTAAATAAACTCTGCCAGAAGATGCTTTCATAAGGCCCTTTTCGTCTGATCTGTTGTGGAGGTCCATGTATAATTGATGCAAATGAGAAATTCCTGAAGATGTGAAATTTAGTGACATGTCCCATGCCTACACTAGAGGCATGTAGTCAGAGTAAGTTTTAAATAATTAAGTGTCCAAGTTACTTATTTATAATGTTGCACATGTAAGAGTCACATTTGCAGACTCTGCATGCAAGAATATGCTTATATTGTGCTATATGTAAAATACCAATAGAGCTAAATTACAATGAATATGCCAGAACACTTTTTTCATATGCATTAATGGTAACACTTCTAAGTCGTGGCCTAATGGTTAGAGAGTCAGACTCATAACCCAAAGGTTGTGGGTTCGAGTCTCGTACCGGCAGGGATTGTAGGTGGGGGGAGTGAATGTACAGTGCTCTCTCCCACCTTCAATACCACGACTGAGGTACCCTTGAGCAAGGCACCGAACCCCAACTGCTCCCTGGGTGCCGCAGCATAAATGGCTGCCCACTGCTCCGGGTGTGTGTTCACGGTGTGTGTGTGTTCACTGCTGTGTGTGTGCACTTTGGTTGGGTAAATGCAGAGCACTAATTCCGAGTATGGGTCACCATACTTGGCCACATGTCACGTCACTTTCACTTCACTAAATGCAAGTTATTGATCCATGCATCTGTTTTTTTTTGTTTTTTTTGACCTCATAATTTTTTTTATTAAAATGTCTAAACTCGATCTTCCAGAATGACAAATTTCTCTCTAGTGACATATGTTGGGCTTCTCCAATCATTTAGTCAGATTAAATCCCGCCTCTTTCTTATGACCAAACGCAAGCTCACATTTAGATCTGTCTCTATTCAATCAACAACCGGATAGGACTCCAAATTGAACCATAGTGTAAAGTGTATTCATGTTAATAAATACCTGCCTTTATCAGAAACTGTAACATACTGTATTTCCACACACTTACAAGTATCTATAATGGCGATATCCTGAATTCTGCCCTTTAACTGCCAGGAGGAGAAACTGAGACAGGTGCGCAGTGCACTGCAGTCGTCTGAAATCCAGTGGGAAAGTAAGGGGCCACCCAATAAGAGGTGAGATGTAAACCACCCGTATTTAGTTTGATAATATTTCAACTGTTAATCTCTTCCTGTCTCTGCACGTTTTGTTTTCTGGTAAGTTTCATGTGATGTTTATATGCTGATGTATTGATGCCCGTCGCTTTGTTTAGGTATTATGGCTGTGCAGATATGCAGAGCGTCCCATCTTGTGTACAGGAGTGCTGGGAACTCCTCTCCTCCGAGTCATTCTTCATCCTCTTATCCAACCTGACCGGTCTCCGTCTACACTATCTGTGCGGTGATGAGGATGAGAGCGAGAACGAAGATGGAAAGAGTGAGACAGAAAACAGAGGTGGAGCGGGAAATACACAAGCATCAGCATCCAATACTGATGCTGATACTTCAACAACTGAGAAGAAAGACAAAGGTAAGTCAGCATGTGTGCCTTTTTTATTTTATGCAAAGATCAATTTTTACATCTACAATAATTTTTCCTGTGGATTCTTGCAGGACCTCCTACTTGTGTAGGAGAACTGCGTCGCTGGATGCATGGCGACTATACATTGTTACATGACTCTGTCAAAAGAGAGTATGCATTGGATCTGCAGCTTCACATGGGCTGTGCTGGTATGAAATCATTTATGTTTGTCCTTTTTGTTATTAGTTGATAAGTGTGTTCAATATGACTCAATTTTGATGGAGGGACAAATGGTTGAAAAAAGTGCAAGAGCATATCCGAGACAAACATCAGCCTCTGTTTTTTCTGTCAGGGTGGAAATCAGAGTTTGGGGGATTTACGTCCTATATTGCACATGATGAAGATGAGGAGGTAGATGATGGTGTCACACAATGCCAGTTTGTTTTCATTTAATGATTTATTATAACATATGCAAACACAGCAGACTAGTGCACATTATTTATTGTTGTTTTTTTTCTGTAGCTCCTGACAGTGTATCCTGAAGATAACTCCCTCGCTCTGGTCTACAGAGACAAAGACACCCTCAAGTTCATCAAGCATATCAATAATAGCAGCTCCAGCCAACTTTCTTCTCAGAATACTGCAGCATTCTATGACTTCTCTTTTAACTACTATGAATGATGAATGAGTGCATTGGACATACATTTCATAACATTTTGAGCTTAATATACACAAACAAAAATAAATTTGAAATATAAGTGCACTTTAATTTTTGAATGTGCAAATTTCACTCCAAACTACAAAAATTCAGTGTTAAGTGTGATGCTTGAAATGAAATGTAATCATTTGGTTGTTAAATGAGCATTTGTGCTCTGATGTCAATAAATGTTAATAATTAACACATGAATAATGACATTTGTGTTCATCTGAAGCCCATTGTGTTATATTACAGAACTATAACGTGTTAAAACACCAAATTAAATCTATTTACATTACTAGAGAACATTAGTGAAAATGTTTATATTTTAGGTTGTTCATCTGCATTATGTACTCACCCTCATGTAATTCTAAAACGGTATGCATATTTAAACCTGTATGCATTTCTTTATTCTTCTGAACATAAAGGAAGATATTTTAAGAAATGTGTGTTTTTTAATTTTTTTTTATATATATAATGGAAGTCAGTGGGTTCCAATGTCGTTTGGTTCCCAACATTCAAAATATCTTCTTTTGTGTTCTGCAGAAGAAAGTAAGTTCTACAGGTTTGGAATGACATGAGGCTGAGTAAATGATGACAGAATAATATTTGATATTTGAGTGATTTTAAGTGAAGTTTTAATTGAAAAATGTACATGAATCACATTCTCCAGCATGATCTGAGAATGATCCAAAGAGCATCTTGAGCTTAAATGGAAACAAGAACATCCAACCGTCTGTAAAAGGATTTCACATAATCAGTCTCACAAATGTAGTTATTTGATTAGACTGAAAAATTGTGCAAGAGCACTATAGTTTAGTAGAGGTCCATGGGTGAGCCTCTTTATGTGTTTTGAGTGTAAATCTGCAGAGATTTGGACAGTTTGTGATGAACGCTGTTATTACTTCCTGCGAGACCACACAATAACAGTGAACCTCTTGGAGCTTGACACACTGCTTTGCTAAGGCTATCAGCTCAGAGTTAAGTTCAAGGGATGGGATTGTCTGCAGCTCCAGAACCTCTAGTGTGTTTGCGTAACTCTGCCTGACTATCCGAACCTCATCCAACAGCAAAGTCCAAGTGAGCAGCCGAAGACATTGGACAGGGATGCTGGGCTGCAGTACCCCTGGAACGTGCAATTCGGGCAGGGTGTGGTCCAGCTCAAGTTCCACCCAGAGACGCGGGTGTCTCAGTTTTAACTCTAGCCATACCTGGTCACAGAGAGGCACGGTGTATTTGAGCGAGCGTTCACAACGGAGCTCTAGTTTCTTTAGTGCTGGTCGCTCTGGCAACATGAAATCTTTAAAGACGTCTTGTGAGAGACTGGCCTGGAAAACTCCAAGAACGCTGAGCGACTGGCAGCATTTCAACGTTTGCCTTAGAGTTTCAGCGTTGACACCACACACCAGAGAGTGATTGTTGATGTAAAGACTTAGCAGAGCAGGGCAAAGCATGGCTATGCTCCTGACGAAGGAGTCGCTGAGGGTGAAGGGTACACCCCTTAGGTCAAGCACGGTTAGGGACGACCCGTTCGTCAGTATGTCCACTAAGCCTTGCTGCAGGTCCTGACCAGCATAAAAGAGAGGCGTGTTCCCCACACAACAGATGGAAAGTCCTTCCAGCCGCCCATCACCCCTGGCAACTGCCTGCCGCAGCACCCGCAGTGCTGTTTTGCGATTGGCTGGATCGGTCAGACACATTCTCAGTTTCAAATTTCTGACCAGTGGCAGAAGAGCAGAATATCTGTCGGGGACACTGGTTCCTGACTCACACCTAAGAGAAGAGATAACATATGACACACAGAGCAAAACATGCATCATTTCTGCTGTTTATTATTTTGTTATTATGATGCATTAAAGTTCATGCGGCAAACTTTTATGACAATATAGTAGTGTATGGCACAAAGTCTTCACTAATGACGTAAATTGCTTTTATCAAGGTACTTAATCAGCACAGAACCTTTGGTCAAATATGAGGCCATGGAGAAGGAGAAGAAAGAAATCACACAGGAGATCTCTTTAATAACTCAAAAATTTCTCCTAGACAGCAATGAGATTATAATGAGAAATGGAGAGCCAATGGAGACTTTTAGTCTCCTTCTTCTCAAAGGTAATCTCAACAATGTCTCAAACTGTGCTCAGAGTGGCCAACATATCAGTCTGCAATATATAAATTCAATCATTTATCATTAAATTATCTTTATCATACTTGCTACATTCTATTTATTGTAACTCTATATGAAGTCTCCTGGGAATTTTTAGGAGAAACATGTGAGACAGATTTAATACTTACATGCAGTTTAACTGAGATCTCCATTAAGTCTCCTGAGATATGAAAGAGCAATATCTAAGTAATAAAATGATCCTTTGGAAGGGTTTCCTAATATCTCATGGATACAAGACAAACCAACAGTTCTTACCTGACTTCAGTGTCTTTCCATGAGCTTGGATGTGTCACGATATTAGACCAAGCCTTACAAACAGTAAATGCATTGCATTTGTCCTGTAAAGGCAGGAAAGAAAAAATATGTGCAAGGATCTCTTCTGGCAGATCCATCCCATTCCAAATCAGCCCTTTATCTTCTGTCAGCCGCGGTACATTAAAATACACTTGAAACAGGTGATCTGATATTATAACCGAAAACCTTTAATACAGCACAGTGCGTGATGACTCTGCTGTCTGTGTGTCTGTCAGACTTCTGAAAAAAAAGCATATACGTTCTCAAACTTCTGTACTTCCTCCTGCGTTACGAGTTCCGTTGTTAAACGCAGCGATGAAAACAGATGTAGAGCTTTGAGCCAATCAACATAGAATGAGCGAGGCTCTTAACCAATCAGATTAAGGAACATTGCAGTGGGTGTGTCTTAGTAGCCAAGGCAGTGCTTCGACACCTCGAAAGTTTCCTTCGTGTAAATTTGCAGGCCTGTTTAGACTTCCTTATCACTCAGACAAAGTTCACCAAATCGTTGTGTAAGTAACATGTAATATATATAACAAAAGCGCAGGTTTAATTTTCGTTATTATGTGAATTGAAGACAAGCAGTATTGCGTTATGTTAAACTTTTGTTCACGAGAACATTAAAATTAATAAAAATAAATCCACGAGTCTGCTAGTGTTTGTATATGTTCTATCCACCGACCTCTCAAAAATGTAAACCGTTAACATTTTTAAACGTGACGCATCATGTTACATGTAAACATGTGCATCGCATATCTAACAATCACCAACCTATGACCCGATTTATGTAGCAGTATCGACCATCAAGCTCACAGCCTTATAAGGAAGTGGTTACATCCTGAAAACACACAAAATAATGTATGTTTGTGTTAGTCTAATAAGATCTTAAATGAATTCTGCTTTTTTAGAATTTCTTTGTCTGTTTTTTTACGTGGAGTAATTTGTTAACACTCACAGGATTGAGACAGGAGTTTGATCAGAAGATGGACAGTATAGACACAAAGGTACATTGTGTTTACATTTGTGTCTGTCCAGGTGTTGTTGTAAGTGAATTAACATTGTGTGTATGATTTTATCTTAATCTACAGAAGTTGTAAGTGAATTAACATTGTGTGTATGATTTTATCTTCATCTACAGAAGTTAAATGACCGCAACGGCAACGATGCTGCATTTTCAGGGTGTGCTGTACTTTTCTTGGGGTGTAGCAGTCCAGCACACAACCTTCTATCACTTTACAAAGACGAGCAAGGGAAATTCAGTGTGTTCAAGGTTATTAAACTCACCCTTATAGGTAAGCATCAATAGAGGTGGCCACCAATTACATATTGAGTTAATCAAATTATACAGAAATGAAAAGAGTGTGGCGTTTTAGCTATACAGATTTATATGTCTTTGTGTTGCAACTGATACTGTTCGAACTGTCTTTGATCCAGATTCTGTTGGTGGACTGGAAGGGCACGAAATCCTGAAACTGCACGATGCTGATCCCTTCCTTGGGGTGGAACTCAAATTCATGGCCATGCTTCCCTGTCAGCGATTCCTGGAGAGCTATGCATGTGGTTCGCTTGCTCAGTTTCTGTCCCAGCATGCCTCACGCCTTCTTACTCTTCCTGATGGGGTTGTCATGGAAACACAGCTCAAAGCAGGGATACATACATTGGACCAAAGCCTTCAAGATCTAGAGATCTGTCTGGAGCACATACGCCAATCACAGGTATGTGTGTTTGTTTATGCTGATATAACCAGCAGGATAGGTTTATACGGCTCTGTACTTTTATGAGCAGCTGTTTGCACAGAACGTCAGATAACGGAAGGAAATCACAGTTCACTGCTGCTTAACAGAGGTAGTTTAAAAAAAACATTTCTGACCTTAAAGTATACGATGATTCATATTTAAAGGGATAGTTCACCCAAGAATGAAAATTTGATGTTTATCTGCTTACCCCCGTACGCGCGAGAGACCACTTCCGGCGCTTTCGTAAACTATGCCAGAGCGCGTACACACCTCACACACCGGAAGCTGTAAGCGCCCAAAGACAGTTGGACATAGTGGTGTATTAGAGGTAAAAAAATTATATAAATACTGTTCGGTTTCTGGCACAAACCGATTGTTTCGTGTCTTAGGACATCAATGTGTCATCACGAGCCGCAGGGTTTAATTTGGATTTGTCTGTGCATGTTTTTTTTACTCTCATAGATTTTGTTACCATTGCCATGCATTATACGACTGATAGACTGCAACGGCTGGAGTTAAAAATCATCAAATGTGTTCTACTGAAGAAACAAAGTCACCTACATCTTGGATGCCCTGGGGGTAAGCAGATAAACATAAAATTTTCATTCTTGGGTGAACTATCCCTTTAAGTGTATATTTAGGTCAAAAGGTCATTGGTGTAAATGGTGCTGGGAATTCCCCGAATCAAGAGGGCTGTTGTAAGGATAACAAATTAGGAATGAAAATTCAGCATGTTCTTGACACATTTTCAGCTCTGAGAAGAAACTACAGGTTCATAGATTAAAGGTTTAATAAGATTAAAGGGGTCATATGATGCAATTTCAAATGTTCCTTTCTCTTTGGAGTGTTACAAGCTGTTCGTGCATAGATAAGATCCGTAAAGTTGCAAAGATTTTTTATAAAAAAGACTTGTCCACGCCCTCCTAAAACGTCTCGTTTAAACACGCCCCCACATATCTATGTCACAGTGTGGGAAGATTTGCATAACACCACCCAAATGTTCACGCAAAGAAAGAGGGCGTAACTTTTAGCAATGGCTCTGTGTAGTAAATATATCCGATAACGATATCCGCTTCGTCTTGCCTGGAGCTGATCCGTGCTGGTCGCTGAGGAAATACATTCTGCAGTGAGGACCATCTCCCTTCGTCGAATCCGCCGGCCGTTCCTCACTCAAGCCCGCCTTGTGTGATGCTGTGTGTTTCGTTGTGAAAGCGAAACTACTTTGTTTGGCCTTCCAAAAGAGGACACGACTAGAAATCCGGACATGGTTTTATGTTTACGCGGCGCGATACTCAACGCGTAAAAAGACAGTACAAGTCATTATAATCAGTAATTATGTCCCCACTGGATGCAACAAATAAAGTTGTACAGTCAAGTTGTACGAAAGTAAATAAAATTATTATCAAATGCATTATTAACATGATTACAACAGATAAAATAGGCCGAATAGAAGAATTAGCTATTAGACTAATTTGCTTTCTAAATTGATGGTTTAATGCTCTTGGCAGCCAATAATTCACTGCAGTGTTTTTTGAGGATGAGCAGATGTCACACATTTGTCACGCCTGTACATGTTGGCATCCGCTGGCAACTTCTACAATGCCTAATTTCTGCTATAGAGTTAGATGCAGTAACTAGAAGCACTTGCTTGAGTTGGCATCAACAACAAAAGATATGGGAAGCATTTTTTTCTGTCTTTTTTTATTTTGTTATACTTTCTATCTGTGATTATATGGTTGCAATTTTTTTAATTTGCATTTAACCTGTTTTCACTGCTGTCTGCAACCCAAAAACTATTAATCAGTTTTAGTTTTTACATTTGCAGAGTCAGAGATGTGAAAACCATTCCTTAGTTTTCAGTTCCTTTAGGCTCACTTGTAAGTAAACATTTGGCAAAAAGTAATTAAAGGTTTTGTCAAACCTTTTCCTTCCCTATTTTACATTTTTCTAATGTAAAATCAGAAATGTTTGCTGTCTGGCTGAGATTTCAGGGATTATTGCTGAAAAACAATAAACAAATGACTCATAACACCAGTGAAGTGAAGTGTAGTTTGGCTTGAACACAGAGTGACATGTGAAGAAGAACCTTCTTATGCCAAAGCTAGTCAGGTCTGTAAACAGAAGGCCTCTGACTTCTTGCATATTATTGCTATAAAGCCGTCCTTCTCTGTCCTGATGTCATCATGGACATTGTGTCTGCAAATGTCTTTTCAGTAGAAGTACAGGTGGTATCTGAACCAGTCTGATGTATCAGTCTTGCTCTGATGAAAACAGTGAGAGAATATCTCATTATTGTGAGACTCCCAATGAAATTAACACCTTTTGAAAAAAATTTTAAATCTCTTTTTTTTTAACTAAACAGCTGCTGGTTGAGCCTTACCTTCTATGGATGTAACAATATGGTTCAGATATTTTCAAATAAACAGCTGTTTATTTAACGGATGGCTGTTTTGTAGCCTGTGCATTTGCGAGATGACGAGGTCTCACAGTTGGAGCAGCAGCTGCAGAACAGCTTCGGTCCTCCCAGTCAACCACCACAGGAGCTGCCCAGGAACTGCTTTCTGTTTCAGAAAAGAGTTTTTGGTGAGTTTTAACTATTTAAATGTATATGATGATGCAATTTAAATTTGTATTTCTATGATCTCAGACTAGTTTTCACATTCAAATTGTTTGATTTTTGTCTTCTCCTTCCTGTGCTCTCAGACGATAGGCCTTTGACTTCAGCAGACCAGCAACGGTTTGCTGCTCATGTGGGACGGGATTGGAAACGAGTGGGACGGGCTTTACAAAAGCACTGCCGTGCCCTAAAAGGCCCTGCTATCGACAATCTCGCCTATGAGTATGAGAGGGAGGGGCTTTACGAACAGGCCTATCAACTGCTTGGACGTTTCATCCAATCAGAGGGCAGGAGTGCCAAACTGAGCCGTCTTATCAGTGCACTAGAAGAGACAAAACTGACCAGCATGGCAGAGATCATGTTGGGCATCCAGCCACGAGATTGAGACTGTACGAGTCTCTGTACAATGAATGAGTGATGTATATGTGTGTGTGTGTGTGTGTGTGTGTGTGTGTGTGTGTGTGTGTGTGTTGTTTTATATATTCTG